GTCGCAGAGGCTCTAGCCAGATTTTAGGGCCCGTGGCGTAAGTGCCCCTTTTCTGCTTCACCCATGTGCTGTCCAGTCTCCCTGCCCAGTGGTTTACCACCCTTCGCCCAGTGTCTTTGTGTGCTCAGTGATGTCTTTTCCTTTTGTTTCTGCTTTAAGCTTTAGTGTCTGCATTTGGCCATCTTTTGGCAGCTCCCATTCTTCCATTTCCTTCCCTGGAGCTTCGGAAGGCGTAGGGCCTTCCACAGTCTATCCAAAGCCCTCCTCCTGGACTCACCTCAGGAATCTTCTCTCTTCACTCCCAGTCTCAGAGATTTCCCCTTGTGGAATTGAAACCAAGTTTGCAAGTACTGCACCGCTGACCAGCAGCCCTTCCCTTCCCAACCCAGTGACCCTGTGTCTCTGCTGTCCAGGGCGGAGCCACAGGCTCTTAGTCCCAGTGGACCCCTCCAAGAGCCCTCTGAGGTGATTGTGAATACCACACAATTCTCCCAGAGGCCTTGGTATGGAGAGAGGAGGACAGTGAGAACTCAGGCCTGGGGAGAGCAGCTCTGACACACCCGATTAACTCTACAGCCCTGAGGAGCTTGGGAAGCCTGAGTCTAGGTTTCCTTACTTTTCTTGCCTCATTGGTTTTCTTTTCTTTCTTTTTTTTTTCTTTTTGTCTTTTTCAAGACAAGGTTTCTCCATAGCTTTGGAGCCTGTTCTGGAACTAGCTCTGTAGAACAGAACTGGCCTCTGTCCCGTCCACCTGCCTCTGCCTCCCGGACCTCTGCCTCCCTCTGCCTCCCGAGTGCTGGGATTGCCACCACCACCCAGCTATCATTGTTTTCTTTTAGCCTAGAGCACAAAATGGAGAAAACTTGTCAGCACTCAGCTCCCTCCCTGCTTGAAATAAGGTGGAAGGAGGTTTCCCATTGTTGGTGTTCTGACCCCCATAGGAGACCCTCTTGGTCTCTGTTAGAGGAAGTGGGGTGCTCAAGAGGAAAGACAGGAAAGGAGGCTGAAGTTCTTAAGGTTCTCATAGGCTAGCAAAGGGTACCCACAGATGAGGGTGCTGCTGGAGACCCTGTTTTTTCTTCCTTCTGTACCCCCATTTCTGTTTTTTTTGTTTGTTTATTTGTTTTTTGTTTTTCGAGACAGGGTTTCTCTGTGGCTTTGGAGCCTGTCCTGGAACTAGCTCTGTAGACCAGGCTGGTCTCGAACTCACAGAGATCTGCCTGCCTCTGCCTCCCGAGTGCTGGGATTAAAGGCGTGCGCCACCATCGCCCGGCTGTACCCCCATTTCTGAACATACATTGGGTGTCTGCTGTACTTGAGGCTTTGTGCTAGGTATGAGTCTTTTTTTTTTCTTCGAGACAGGGTTTCTCTGTAGTTTTTGGTGCCTGTCCTGGAACTAACTCTTGTAGACCAGGCTGGCCTCGAGCTCACAAAGATCCCCCTGCCTCTGCCTCCCAAGTGCTGGCATTAAAGGTGTGCGCCACCACAGTCCAGCTGCTAGGTATGGGTCTTAAGATGAAGGTTGACCTTAACCCCAGCACTTGGGAGGCAGAGGCAGGCGGATCTCTGTGACTTTGAGGCCAGCCTGATCTACAAGAGCTAATTCCAGGACAGGCTCCAAAGCTACAGATAAACCCTGTCTCGAAGAACCCCTCCCCTCCCAAAAAAAAACGATGTTGACCCTGAACTCCTGATTCTTCTGCCTCAACCTCTCAGTGCTGAGCTTATTGGTGTATGCCCCAACACCCAGCCCTGCTCATTTCTATATTCAGTTAACCTGACGTGTAGCGTTAGCCTGGATAATATCAGTGAGCGGGGAAGGCTTTCCGGATCTGTGGAGAGGAAGCAGGGCGCACTGAGCTGGCCAGCAGAGGGTTGAGTTGTGCAGAAAGGGTGTTTGGATTGGGGAATGACAGGTCTTTCTTGCCTCTGTGGTGCTGGGATTGAATCCAATGCTTCATGTCTACCAGACCCTTGAACCTGGAGCCCTTTTTAGAGTTTTCTTTTGAGACAGAGTCTTGCTAAGTTGCCCAGGCTGTCTTTGAACTGTCCATCCTCTTACTTCGACCTTCCAAATAGTTAGGATTCCAGATGTGCACACCACCCCTAGCTGTGATAGACCCTTTCCTGGTGTGCACACCACCCCTAGCTGTGATAGACCCTTTCCTGGTGGACATACTGGGGCCTGGAGGACATGAAGGGCTGTTGTGCTTGCTGTGTTTCCCCTGGTAAGCACTTGCCATGCCATTGCATTTTGCACAGCTTGAGCCTTGGGGCGGTCTCAGTACAATAGTGCCAGGCAGTGCCAGGGCCGCTTGCTGCTGGGCAGTGCCCGTGCTGGGATGTGCTGCTGCTGTGGCTGCTGCCCGCTGCTCGTCCACTCAGAACAGGGGCCGCTTCAAGAGAGGGTGAGTGTTGACAGGTGGAAGGCAGGGACCAGAGCAACTGGGGTCCGCATGGGCAGTGGTGCCGAGAAGGGGAAGGGCGGCTGGAACCCTTTTCTGGCCCCAGTCCCTGGTCCCTTCCCACTTCCAGCAGAACTGTCTAGGCAGGTAGTACAGGGAACCATGAGGAAAGACTGTGTCTTAAGCACACACTTGTGTTTGGAGTGGCCCTTGCCAGCCAGGCATGTTGTTCTGTTTACTGCTGCTGTCGTGTTTGCTGGCTCGTCTGTCGGACATGCTCATACTTTCTATAGATCAGTGTCCTTGAGACGGCTGGGAGGGCAGAGAGGTGGAGAGAGGGAGAGTATATGTCTGCGGGAAGAGATATTTAGACTTGACCTTTGAAGTCCCATAAGGTGAATTTGAGGTGACTTTGATCTAGAAACAATCCAATTAAAGAGCTATGCTTTCCCACAGTCGGCTGGAGAATAGACCAATGGGACACTTTGCTAGAGATGCAGGCAGGCAGGTGCCACTAAAGAAGAGTCTGAGGGAGGGGTGTCCCTTAGGAGAGGAGGGGAGAAGTAGTTGCAGGGCTGATAGAAAGAAGTCTGTGGACAAGGAGAGACCAGGGCAGGGCAAGGAAGACAGGCAGGACAAGGAGAGAAGCCTGGCCTGGTGATGCATGCCTGTAAGCCTAGTACTTGAATGGCTGAGGCAGTAGGATTGCCTTTAGTTCAAGGCCAGACAGGTTACACAGTGAGATCCTGACTCAAAAACTAGTAGAGTAGCTGGGGTAGAGGAGGAAGCGTGAAGAGGGATGGTAGGGAACGACCTGCAGACCACCGGGCTCTGTCACCTCAGGTCACCCTGAGGGCCAAGACAGAAGGATCTTGGTCCAGGACAGCTCAAGACCTAGGGCACTGTGGTCCATTGCTCTCTGGCCCCTGCACTGTTGACTCAGCACCTCCACACTTCCCCTTTCCCCCATCCTCCCCCACTCCGACTGCCCCTGTGGTCAGTGGTGTAGCAGGCCCAGGCTGGGTGTTTTCGTCACTGAATTATAATTCTCTGTCTTAGAATGCCCGCCCGTTTCCTCAGTTCTATTTTAGCTGCCTGCATGGTTTTGTCCTTGCCCTCTAACATCTCTAATTAAATTGATTAACTAATTAATTTAGATGCTGGGTCTCACTGTAAAGCCCCGACTAGCTTGGAATTTCCTATGTATGCCAGGGCGGTCTTGAACTCATATCTGCCTGCCTCTCCTGAGTGCTGGGATTAAAGCCGCACTCCAGTATACCGGCTGTCTTGCCCTTTCTAATTTACTGGGTACATGCCATGGTTGGAATGTGGGTGTCAGTTTGGTTCTTCCACCGTGTGGGTCATCAAGTTTGGCAGCAGGTGCCTTTGCTTTTCTTCCTTTTCTGACCTGTTTGTTTGTTTGTTTGTTTGTTTTGGTGGTGGTGTTTTGAGATTGGCCCTCACATCATCCATATTACTAGATAGCTAAAGATGTCCATACTCCCAAGCTTCTCACCTCCACTCTGTAAGTGCTCTCTGTGTGTGTGTGTGTGTGTGTGTGTGTGTGTGTGTGTCTGTGTGTGTGTCTGTGTTTGTGTTTTGGGTTTTTGTTTTGTTTTGTTTTTTGAGAAAGTTGTCTATAGCCCAGGCTTGCTGCAATATTCCTGTCTTAGTCTTCCAAGTGCAGGAATTCATAGGCATGAGCTACCACAGCCAGTATTGTCTTTTCTGGCTCTTGGAAAAGTCAGGTACTTGGGGAGGAACAGAAAGGAAGTTAAGGACTTTTGCAGAAGCTGGATGGAGTGGGAGAAAACTTAAAGGCAAAGGTATTCCTCAGGGACAAATGGGGCACTACAGTGCTTTATCCCAGCACTGAGCAGGGGAGGCTGGAAGATCCAAAGTTCAAGGGTATTCTTGGCTACTTGAGCACCCACACACACACAGGCACACACACACACACACACACACACACACACACACACACGACCAGAGGTGGATCTTTTGGGCTTTGACTGATTGAGAATAAGTAGAAGAGTTAGAAGTTTGGGGTCCTGACCTCTGGGTTGGGGTGGCTGAAGATGCATTCTGTCCCCCCAGCCAATCTAATAAGGGAATCTCCTGCATTCCCACCCCTGTTTCCTCATGACTGCTTTGAAGACAGCAGCTCCAACACCCGTTGTCATGGTTATGAGAGGAGCTAACTCCCATAGATTGGAAAGCGCTGGTGAGCTGGCACCCTCTGCTTCTCTGGTCCTCCCCTCCTCTCTGCGCATCTTCCCCCAGCACAGAGAAAGCATCCAGCAGCCGGGGGCGAGCAGAGCTAAGCCTGGGAGGTGGAGTGAGGACGCGGAGATCTAGAGCTAGAGATCTAGAGCTAGGAAGATGAGTGGCAACAGGAGGCAGCCCAGTCGCCGGGGCCAGGTAGGCCAGAGGCCTAGGGACCTTAGGGACGGACTGCCCTGTGCTTTGGCGACTGGGGTCATCCACCCTCTCTAGGCAGGCTTTTCCTCCGTGGCTCTGCTTTCAGCCTGGTTCTCTGGAAGCCAGTGCTTAGGCTTCTCCTGGCCTCACTTCTATCTTTCAACCTTTCTGCAGACCCGGGAAAAGGAGAAGATGAAGGAAGCCAAGGACGCTCGCTATACCAACGGCCACCTCTTTACCACCATCTCAGTCTCGGGCATGACTATGTGCTACGCCTGTAACAAGAGCATCACAGCCAAGGAAGCCCTCATCTGCCCAAGTAAGTTGTTGGTCCCCGCAGGTGACTCAGACTGGGTCGTCATCAATCCTAGCCCCTTCCATCTGCCCTTTCCACCCCAGATCCTTAAAAGGGACTCTACTTTCTGAGCCCCACCTGGGCTCAAGTCCCATGTCCAGGTGCTTGGCCCCTCCCTTGCTGCCCTTCCTCACACTGGGTGGTGGCTGTTGGAATGTGGCATGGTCCGGTCTCTTGGGTGTAGGTTGGCAGAGTCTGGGATTCCTGTCCTTCCAGCTGTCACTTTCTGGGTATCCCCCTTGCCCTCTGAACAGCTGTTGACAGTTAGGGGAACTGTCTGGGAAAGGAGCAGGAATGTGTGTTTGAACCGGGGTGGGAGAGGAGCTAGGGAAAAGGGAAGCTGCCAACCCTGCAGCTGCCTCTGCCCATCTTTCTGGGCCCCACTGGACATTTTCGACTTGGGGATCCCCTTGTTGCATGTGGGTGGAATCTGAAGTCTGCTGATTCAAGGACAAGATGGAATTAGGCCTTGTCTATTTCTTTAACCCTGATAAAGAAATGCTGTTGAGACCTGTGTGATGGAGGAGGACTCAAAATTCCTAATCTTGCATGTATCCAACCTTCACCCTGTCCCAGGGTGGCTCTGTACTGAAGGAACACAGAGAGGAATTGCTGTCTCCTTGGGTCACCAGTGCAGAGGCTGCAGCGCTGCCCTGCCCCCCAGCCCCATGCCTCCTCCTGAGTAGAACAGGGGTGTTGTGGCCTGACTCTGACTCCCTTTATGACTTTGGGAAGGAACCCCAGGAAGAACTAATGGGGCCTTCCTCCCTACTTCTTTACCACTTGATTTAGAGCTAAAAGGATGAGGAGGGACCCCAATCTAGATCCCCCTGGAGACCTGACAAAATACTCAATCCGGAAGCTTGTTGCCAGGGGAACAGGGGAGGTGGGTAGCACTATTTTGAGAGCAGGTGGAAAGCGGAGGTTTGATCCAGAGACACTAGGTGTTGGGGGTAGGAGAAGGGAGCTCCAACGGTAGGCACTGCCACAGCCCTGCTTCCGTTGTCCCCTTCTGCCCCACCCTATGAGCCTTATATTTGTGGAAGTGAGCGTGGTACTGGGCATTGTCTGCACGAGGTAGCAGTTTCCTGTGGTGTTGGAGGGTTCCGGGTGAGCTGTAGCACTGAAGGCAGGTCAGGAAGGAGACAGTCCATGGTCCTAAGCCCAGGGTCTGCTCTTCCTTCTTCCTTTCCTGCTTCATGGAGAGGTGGGTGGGGGATGGGCGGAAGCAGATGGAGTGTGGGAGCTGTAGTTTGCCTTAGTGGAGGAACAGAACTTTACAGGCCTAGAACGGAGAAGCATCCTGGATGGAGTTAGTGCAGAAGACTGCATGCATGTGTGCGTGCGTGCGTGCGTGTGTGCATGTATGTGTGTGTGTTGTTTTTTTGAAACAGAGTTTCTCTGTGTAGCCCTGACTGTCCTGAAACTTGCTTTATAGACCAGGCTGGTCTCGAACTCACAGAGATCCGCCTGCCTCTGCCCTTCGAGTGCTGGGATTAAAGGCGTGCGCCACCACCACTGTGCAAGAGTGTGGGTTTTGGATTAAGGCACACTGAAGTTTAACTTGTTAACTCTTCACCAGCTGGGTGACCTGGGCTAGGAAACAGTATCCAGACCAAATTCCTCATCTGTGAAGGGAGCAGGGAGCTTTCCTCAGGGGGCCAGGGCCAGGGGCATCCCAGCAGAGAGCCGCCCTCTGGTCTGGGGAGGCCCCGTGCTCATCAGCCAGCGTCATCTCCTCAGGCCACAGGATGGTTCAGCCTTCTGGGTCGCAGACCCCTCTCACTTCCATTCATGCTGAAGGATAAGGGAAGCAGGGGAGGGATTGGCATGAGATTCTGGGAAGCTGGGAAGAGTGTCTGCAGAATGCATTGCCTAGGAAGTTGGGTGTTTACATGTGGGTGTGTCCCCTCCTGTACCACCCAGACTCCCCTTCACCCTCTCTACCCCACCCTCCCAGCCTGCAATGTGACTATCCACAACCGCTGTAAAGACACCCTGGCCAACTGTACCAAGGTCAAGCAGAAGGTGAGAGGGCAGGGTAGGCCGAGGGTTGGGGGAGAGGGCAGGGATCGCAGTGTCTGTCTGTTTTTCCGTTCATTCCCTCCGCTATGTCCCTGTCCTTGCCATGGGGCAGCCCAGACCTGCCCCCTTAGGCCACAGCCCTGCCTAACTAGAGGGCAGGGCAGCCGCTAGGTCCTGGCTTGTCCTGGGTGTGGGGGTCTTTGGGTGACAGCTATTCTTGGTGTCTCTCTTTTGCTCTGTGCCACAGCAACAGAAAGCTGCTCTGCTGAAGAACAACACTGCCCTGCAGTCTGTTTCTCTCCGAAGTAAGAGTGAGTAATTGGGAAGTTCCCATGGGTCCCTGGACCACCAAGCTCCTGAGCCCATGATCTCTACTGCCCCCATGAGGTCATACCCGGGAACAGACAGCTCATTTTAAATGGAAGTGTCTTGGGGAGTGGCATAGGGATGGTCCTTAATCTTGGGGTTACTGTTAAGACGGACAAGTCCAAATAGGTTTGAGGGACAAGGCTGGCTGGTTACTTGAGCCTTGCAACATCCTTTTATGATCGCCATTTATCTGTTCTTCATTTGGGAATTGTCTGTGACAACTGTCACACGTCAGATCAGAAGCATAGTGCCCAAGTTCCTTCTCCAGCTTGGGTCACTCCAGACTGGTCTCACCTCTCTGGCCTTTGCTTTGCTCACAGGCTTCTCTGGGGTTGAAGAACAAATAAGAACAGACTCTTTTTTTTTTTTTTTTAAGATCTTTATTTTTATGTATACAGGGTTCTTCCTGCATGTATCCTACCTACAATACAGAAGAGGGTACCAGATCTTATTACAGATGGTTGTGAGCCACCATGTGGTTGCTGGGAATTGAACTCAGGACCTCTGGAAGAGTAGCTAGTGTTCTTTACCTCTGAGCCATCTCTCCAGCCGCCAAGAACAGACTCTTAATTCATGCTGAGGGGTTGCACAGTGGACAGAGACATTTTCTTGATTGGTTTGCCAGTCTCTGTCTGTAAGGAGCAGTTCACCTTATTTCTATTTGAGCCTGGGAGACCAAAGGGCTGAGCAATTCAGTTTTTTCCTGTTTGGCCTCCTTCTTTACAGCAACCACCAGAGAGCGACCAAGCTCCGCCATCTACCCTTCTGATAGCTTTCGGCAGTCCCTGCTTGGTTCACGGCGTGGCCGCTCCTCCTTGTCTTTGGCCAAGAGTGTTTCCACCACCAACATTGCTGGGTGAGCTTCTGTTTGGGGAAGAGGGGTCCCGGCAGGAGAGCACCACTTCTGCCCATGAATTCGGAACTGGAGACAGATATGTGAAAGATAAATTCAAACAGAGTAGCTGTCCTTAGGGGCCCGACCTGGGGAGGGACCTCCTGCCCGAGTGGGGGTGATGTAGATGGCCTCCACTTCCTTCAGACATTTCAATGATGAGTCTCCCCTGGGGCTGCGTCGGATCCTCTCCCAGTCCACAGACTCCCTCAACATGCGGAACCGAACCCTGTCCGTGGAATCCCTTATTGATGAAGGTGAGCAGGCCCAGCATGGAGGAGAGGCATGCTGGCGTGGCTGGTGTAAGAAGCCTGGAAGGGAGGAAGGGAGAGGATCCAGGGAAGGGCCCAGGTCCGGAGAGGAGAGCTGCGTTCTGAGGTGGCTCCTGCACCGATATCCAGGTGCAGAAGTGATCTACAACGAACTCATGAGTGACTTTGAGATGGACGAGAAGGACTTTGCGGCAGATTCGTGGAGCCTTGCGGTGGACAGCAGCTTCCTGCAGCAGCATAAGAAGGAGGTGATGAAGCAGCAGGATGTCATCTACGGTAAGCCCCAGGGACACACAAGCTTCTACCAGACCCTGCTTGACTGCATCTGCCTTGTGCTACCCACCTGTCAGGACACCTTCTTCTGTCCTTGGCCACCATGTCCCTGTGCACCTACTTCTTGGTGCCGTTCGGGTTTGTTTTTTGTTTTTTTGTTTTTAATCTTATTTTTCTTAGAGAAGAGTCTCGGGGTGTAGGCCAGCCTGGTCTCAAACTCTCAGTCCTCCTGCCTTGGCATCCTGAGTTCTGGGATTACAGGCATGCACCACTACACCCACCTCCCAAGACCCCGCCTAGATCTCGTCTTCACTCAGTCCCCAGTCTTCACTCTGCCTCTTCCACGCCCAGCGCCCAGTCCTGTGCTGGGAACAGGGAAACCTTCACACTTGGCACACATGATTCTTCTCCTCAAATTGTTCCCAGCTTGAAATGACAAGGCATAGAGATACAAACAAACTCGAAAATGACCTAAGATGACAGTCATGCAGGAGTTAACTCCCAAAAGTTCCTGGGGCATCATGAGTTGTGTCCAAGGTAGGGTGCATAGACAGATGTCCCTTTGTCTCGTAGAGCTGATCCAGACAGAGCTGCACCATGTAAGAACACTGAAGATCATGACGCGCCTCTTCCGCACCGGGATGCTGGAAGAGTTGCAGCTGGAGCCTGGAGTAGTGCAGGGCCTGTTCCCCTGTGTGGATGAGCTCAGTGACATTCACACACGCTTCCTCAGTCAGCTGTTGGAACGCCGGCGTCAGGCCCTATGTCCAGGCAGCACCCGGAACTTTGTCATCCATCGTCTGGGTGACTTGCTCATCAGCCAGGTAGGAAAAGGCAGGGCTCCTAGGTGAAGTCTGCGGAAGGAGCTAGGACAGAAGTGAGCATTTCTTGCTTTGAGACAAGGTTTTATGTAGCTCTGGCTGTCTGGCAACTCGTATGTAGACCAGGCTGGCCTGTAGCTCACAGACATCCATCTGCCTCTGCTTCCCAAGTGCTGAGTTAAAGATGTGCACTAGTGTACCGGGCTCTTTCCTTAAGAAAAATTATGTGCGTGAGCGTGTGGTGGTCCAAGGACCGTTCTGGGAGTCAGTTCTTTCCCACCGTGTTGTTGGCCAAAGAGTGAGCAATTCTTTTTTTTTTTTTTTTTTTTTTGGATTCTTCGAGACAGGGTTTCTCTGTGGCTTTGGAGCCTGTCCTGGAACTAGCTCTGTAGACCAGGCTGGTCTCAAACTCACAGAGATCCACCTGCCTCTGCCTCCCGAGTGCTGGGATTAAAGGCTTGCGCCACCATCGCCCGGTAGAGTGAGCAATTCTTACCTCCAACCAAACTCTGGTAGCAGGAAGGGAAGCTGAGGAGAACTGGAGAGGTGGAAGCTGACTGTCAGGAGGCTGGAGGTGTGCTGACCTGGTCTTGCTATCCCGACTTCTAGTTCTCAGGTTCCAGCGCAGAGCAAATGCGCAAGACCTACTCGGAGTTCTGCAGCCGCCACACCAAGGCCTTAAAGCTCTATAAGGAGCTGTATGCTCGAGACAAGCGCTTCCAGCAGTTCATCCGGGTAAGCAAGCATCTCCAAGCCCAGGCTCAGCCTTCTCATGGCCCAAACCTCTCCCACCCCCAGGGTAGCATATGCCCTCTGCACATGCATAAAGGGAGGCAATTGAACACCCTTGTGGAGCCTATGTGCTTTTAGATCTCTTTAAGTTTCTTTGTTTTTTTTGGGGGGGGGGGTGTTTCGAGAAAGGGCTTCTCTGTGTAGCTTTGGTGCCTGTACTGGAACTCACACTGTAGATCAGGCTGACCTTGAATTCATAGAGATCCGCCTGCCTCTGCCTCCTGAGTGCTGGGATTAAAGGCATGAGCCACCACTGCCTGGCCTCTTTGGGTTTTTTGTTTTGTTTTGTTTTGAGACAGGGACTCATTATATAAGTCCTGGCTGTTGTGGAACTCTCTATGTAAACCACAGTGGCCTTGAACTCACAGCGATTCCTCTGCCTTCCATGTACCATAACCAGACCTTGTCAGTTGCCACTCCTCACTGGGCAAGATGACACTAGACTCGTTTTCATATCCTATTGACTTGGTCATCACCACAGACCTGTGACATTCTCTTCCCCATTTCCCAGAAGCTTTCTACTCAGGCCAACATGGGGCAGATGCTAGGGTGGGCCAGCAGCAGAGCTTTGGCTCCCAGTCTTTCTGTCCCCTTAGTCTTTTGTCTTCCCTTACAGAAAGTGACCCGCTCAGCTGTGTTGAAGCTTTTGTCTTCCCTTACAGAAAGTGACCCGCTCAGCTGTGTTGAAGCGACATGGGGTCCAGGAGTGCATTCTGCTGGTGACTCAGCGGATCACGAAATACCCAGTGCTCATCAATCGGATCCTGCAGCATTCTCACGGTGAGGAAGAGCACGGCGGTCAGGGCCTCCCGGGGAAGGGTGGGAGCTCTGAGCAGTCTCAGATGGATTGGGGTTGCGATGGCGCCAGCTAAACCTTCTCTCGTGCTGGGCATCTGGTGGCACCAGGCATTGAAGAAGAGTGCCAAGACCTGACGGCAGCGCTAGGCCTGGTGAAGGAGCTGCTGTCCAATGTGGACCAGGATGTGCACGAGCTGGAGAAGGGGGCCCGCCTGCAGGAGATCTACAACCGAATGGACCCTCGAGCTCAGACCCCTGTGCCTGGCAAGGGCCCCTTCGGCCGAGAGGAACTTCTGCGGCGTAAACTTATCCACGATGGCTGCCTGCTCTGGAAGACAGCCGCAGGTCGCTTCAAAGGTCAGTGGCCCCTGGCAGACCTGACAAGTCATGGTTAGATTATCTGAACGGGATTTGTGGCCACCCTGCGGGACTGTTTCTACAGCCTTCCACCAAGGGTGAGATTCCGGAGGCAAAGAGGTAACCAACCTATGGTTGCAGAAGTCTAAACTCTGCATTTGACAGTATGGGCCAGCAGTGACGTCTTTATCGGAATGCATTCATTTCTGTGGTCTGTGAGTGGCCAGCGAACTACCTGTCCTAACCAAAGGGACATAGAGACACAGATGAGAAGGAGATTCCTCCAGCCACAATCCCTTCTGCTAGGACAACAGAGATACATCTGGGAGACCCACAGTGGGGCCTGAACTCTGAAGGGCAGGGAGGTTGGAAAGAGAGAACCGTCTACAGGCCTGCTTGGGGGTTGGGCACTCTTCCACAGGCTCCCTTATTAGAACTTATCTGCACTGATAAAGTCCTTGCACCTAAATCAGGACAAGAAAATAGCAACTCTAAACTTTGATTTTAGAGGTCAAGGATGGGGGGATACCCGAAGCCAGAGCCCTTATGAAATTCCAGCTGTGCTGTGAAATTCCTACTCCTAGGGCCTGGGTACTGTCAGTCTTTAGCAGGCTTCTTCCTCCATCCGTTTCTCTCCTTCCCATCCCTCCCACGCAGCAGCTAAGAATATAAAGCATTGAGGGTTAAAAATAGCAAGGCTGGAGAGCTCTATTTCTGAGGGATTAGCAAAAGCCCTCCCCTCTGTGTCCACAGTTGAGTAAAATCCCCACAGGCCGAGGGTGGCTGTGTGGTCTTGACTATGGCATTCAGGTCTTTGTAGACTTGGTCGTTGGTTCCTCCCTTCCTGGGAGTGCAGGACCCATAGGCTCTGAGAGCCTGGAAGTGAAGCAGGGCTTGCTGGGGTTGGAGATGGGATGAATCCAGGCTGGTGGGACGGCCTTGCAGTGCCGCTTTCCTGGAAGCTAACCTTGTCCCTCTGCTGTGCAAAAGTAAGAAGCAGAACTGTGTCAGTTCATTAGAATACCTAAAAAGGGGCCTTGGGAGATGGCTCAGTGGTTAAGAGCACTGGCTGCTCTTCCAGAGGACCCAGGTTCAATTCCCTACACCTACACAGCAGCTCACAGCTGTCTGTAACTCGGGTTCCAGGGAATCCGACACCTTCATACAGACATGCATGCAGGCAAGAACACCAGTGTGCCAACACTTGGGAGGCAGATGCAGGTGGATCTCTGTGAGCTCGAGACCAGCCTGGGCTACAGAGAGAGAGTGCCAGGACAGGCACCGAAGCTACAGAGAAACCCTTGAAAAATCTTTTCTTGTTGTTTTTGGTTTTGGTTTTTGGAGACAGGGTTTCTCTATAGCTTTGGAGCCTGTCCTGGTACTAGCTCTTGTAGACCAGGCTGGCCTCAATCTCACAAAGCTCTGCCTGCCTCTGCCTCCCAAGTGCTGGGATTAAAGGTGTGCACCACCACCGCCCGGATGAAAAATCTTGAAAAATCAAAAAAATATAGATAAATAAGTAAATAGAAATACAGAAAGAAAGAAAAAAAAAGGAAAACAACAGCAACAACAAAATATTTAAACAAGCAAACAAATAAATAAAATGGTACCTAAAAAGGTTCTGCATTAGTCAGATGCTGGACATGGGAATTAAAGGCTTAGAATACCTCCCTTCTTGTTAGGGAATCCAGACACGTCTGATTATGGAGTTGGTCCTCGGGAGGAAGGCAAACAGTTGCTTTACCTTAGTGCTGACCATTTTCAAACTTTGTATCTTGGCCAGATGTGCTGCTGCTGCTGATGACAGATGTGCTAGTGTTTCTCCAGGAAAAGGACCAGAAGTACATCTTTCCTGCCTTGGTGAGCCTTCCTTCTGTTCTCCTACTCATTGTTCTTATCAGACCCAAGAACGACATAAATACCTGTTATACCTGTTAATTCTGTATAATAAGTAAGAGCAGCTACCAGGTGCTAGTGCCATGCACAGGCATGCTTGTCCTGTGAGGAAAGCCCATCGTTAGCATTACTTTGTAGAAATGAAGATAAAGCTCAGAAGCCAGATACAGTGGTACATGCTGTAACGACAGCACTTGGGAGTTAGAGGCAGGAGGATCAGGAGTTCGAGGTAATCCTCAGCCACATGGTGAGTTCAAGTCTAGCCTGGGCTATATGAGAGATCCCAACTCTAATAAATGAATAAACTCTGCCGTGGAATGGTGGAACACACCTTTAATCCAACACTTGGGAGACAGAGGCAGGCAGACTTCTGAGTTCAAGCCTAGCCTGGTCTGCATAGCAAGTTCCAAGCCAGTCAAGGGTTACATAGTGAGGCCCCGTCTCAAAAAGCAAAACAAAAAGCAACAAAAGCATAGCTGGCAGAAGCTTGTAATAGCAGTACTGGGAAAGCAGAGGCATGAGGATTGCAACTGTGTAGCTATCCTGGGCTACATGAGTTCAATACCAGTTCAGGTTACATATTGAGACCCCTGGAGGGGGATATGAATATCAAGGGTCTCACATGCACTTCTAAATCTTGGCTGGTACTGGCCTGTGATCTTACATACACAGCATTCAATCCCTTTGATATTCTAGAACTGAGAACCAAGATATGAAGGGTTAACATTCCTAGTCTTAATTCTTCCTTTTCCCTGACAGGACAAGCCTTCGGTGGTATCCTTACAGAATTTGATCGTAAGAGACATTGCCAACCAGGCAAAGGGGATGTTTTTGATCAGTGCTGGCCCGCCTGAGATGTACGAGGTGCACACAGCGTCCCGAGATGACCGTAGTACTTGGATCCGTGTCATTCAGCAGAGCGTGCGCGTGTGAGTGCGTGCCTGCTGCCTGTGTGTATATATGGCCTCGGGGTCCCATGGTCTCAGGTCCTGGGCAGAATACTCCTTGGTAACAGAACCCATCGTGAGAAACTGGGGCAGAGGTTGGAGGAAATCAAGATGAGCCAAGATAGATACATGAGCCGGGCGGTGGTGGTGCACACCTTTAATCCCAGCACTTGGGAGGCAGAAGCAGGCGGATCCCTGTGAGTTTGAGGCCAGCCTTGCCTGATCTCCATAGCCAACTCCAGAATAGGCTCCAGAGTTACACAGAGAAACCCTGTCTAAAGAAGAAGCAGAAAGAAAGATACATGAAGTTATAGTTTATGGTCAGACAGCCCCGCTATTCCTCAAAGTATTCTGCACTGACAAGGGGTTACATAGCTCTTACGTGGTGACTTCCCTACCAGCTAGTGATAGTGTAACCTCACTAACAGCACTGGCAATAGGAAAAAGGCTCTTATTTGGGTTGTAGCATTTTATCTTTATTTTCTAAAATTGAAAGAATAGGATAATTAAAGCATTGCTATTAATGAGTTGAGTGCGGTTTATCCATAAATTCCACACAGTAGATTCAGGAAGTAAATCAGTTGTGCTAAAGCAGTAAATCTTAGGACATTGGATTTGAAGTCATCAGCCAAATGTCTAACTAAATGGGGAAAAAGTAGACGCTCAGGCAGAAAATGTTGACAACAGCCAGGTGTGGCATGTATGTCTATAACCCCAATACCTGGGAAGTGGAGGCAGAAGGATTCAGAGTTAAAGGTCAGCTTTGGTGCATAAGGATTTCAGGACCCAGCCAGGCTGTGGTGGCGCACGCCTTTAATCCCAGCACTCGGGAGGCAGAGGCAGGTGGATCTCTGTGAGTTCGAGGCCAGCCTGGTCTACAGGAGCTAGTTCCAGGACAGGCTCTAAAACTACAGCGAAACCCTGTCTCAAGGGGAGAAAAAAAAAAAAAAAGGATTTCAGGACCCACTTCACTTGGGCTGAGGTCTTAAAAAACTACAACAGACCAAAGAGCAGTCAGATTTCCCTGCCCTGTGGTAAGTCCTAGGTCCTCCCCCCTCCGTCCATTTCTAGGAAGGTGAACATCCAAACTGGTTAGGCTCCCACAAAGCCAACACATTACGTAGGAGTGGGGGGAGGGGGAGAAGAGTGGGAGGAGGGGGAGAAGGGTGGGAGGAGGGGGAGAAGGGTGGGAGGAGGGGGAGGGAAATGGGAGGCTGGGAGGAGGAGGAAATTTGTTTTTTTTTTCTTTTCTCAATAAAAAAAAATAAATAAAATAAATAAAATAAACTCATAATACTTGAATAAAAAAAAAAAACTACAACAGAGTTAGTGGTAGGGTGCTCACCAGGGAGCCCCGGGTTCCATCCTCAGCACCACGTAAATCAGGTGTGGGGACATGCAGAGGATCAAAAGCTAGAAACACGAGAAACAACAAGAAAGTTGACTAATGCGTTCTTAAAGACTGTTTCTACAGAATAACCCCCCCCCCCCAAGTTAGACCCAAGTTAGAGATTGTGTGTCCAAGGCCCAGAGCTGCGTCCTCAGTGCAGGCTCTGTATAACCTTCCTTAGTGGTTGGTGGGGAAAGTTGGTGCAGAGCAAAGGGAGCCCCAGTGGGAGAGGCCGTCTCCCTAGAAGGGGTCTGTAAAGTGTGTGCGAAGGACAGGATGGTTGCTGGTGTCTCTTCCACAAACTCATCCTGCTGTTTGTTATTCTGCAGATGTCCCTCTAGGGAGGACTTCCCTCTGATCGAGACAGAGGATGAGGCCTACCTCCGGAGGATCAAGAGTAAGTTCCCTGCAGGGCGTGCGTCGGTTTACGGCGTAGCCATACAAATATGCAGCTCTGGAAAAGATGAGAAAGAGGTTGATGAGGTGGCTCCGAGGTTCAAGAAGTTCTGCATCTCTTTTGGGGGACCCCGATTCAGTTCTCAGTACCCACTTAGTGACTTACAATTGTCTGTAAACCTGTTCCGAAGACCTAATGCCTGCTGGCCACCTTGGTCACAAGCATTGTGCACATACAATCACGCAGGCAAAATTCTTTTCTTTCCTTTTTTTCTTTTTTAATAGATTTATTTATTTACTGTGTACACAGTGTTTTGTCTCCATGTGTGCCTGCATGACAGAAGAGGGCACCGGATCTCATTACAAATGGTTGTGAGCCACCATGTGGTTGCTGGGAATTGAACGCAGGACCTCTGGAAGAGCTCTTAACCTCTGAGCCATCTCTCTAGTCTAACAGGCAAAATTCTTATACACATAAAATAAAAATAAGTAAATCTTAGGGGAAAAAAAAATGAAAGCTTCATGTGGCCTGATCTATATCTAGGATTTAAACAATGTGAAGTATATGCTACAGTTTTGTAAGATTGGTGCAAATAGATATTTGTGTGTATGTATGTGTAAATAAATATATGTGTGTGTATATGTGTGTATACATATATATATACATCTATATATATGCATGTGTAGATGAATACATACATATGCATACATATATGTGCATACGCATACATAGTATGTATATGTGTATATATGAATATACAGGCATACGTGTGTGTTTGTGTGTGTGTGATCTCTGTCCCAAGGACATCTGATGCCCTCTTGTGGCCTCTGAGGGCACTGCATGTACATGGTGCGTAGACATAGACGCAGCCAAACACCTGTATGCATAAGAATAAATGTTGATGCCAGGCTTGGTGGTGCACACTTTTAATCCCAGCACTCAGGTGACAGAGTCAGGTGGATCTCTGAGTCCGAGGCAAAATCGAGTTCCAGGGCAACCAGGGCTGTTACACACACAGAAACTGTCTCAAAAACAACCAAAAAAAAAAAAACAGGGTGTGTGGTGTGCACTTGTAACTCCAGCGTTTGGAAGGCAGTGCTAGGGTCGGGCTGTCTTAACTACATTTGTATTGCTGTGATATAACCCTATGGCCAAGGCAACTCAAAGAAGGAAGAACTTTTTGGGGATTACAGTTCCAGAGGGTTCATGATGGTAGGAACAGCAGGTGGCAAACATCTGGAACAGGTGAGAGAGCTGGAGTCTTTTGAAACTCCAAAGCCCCCCCCCCCCAACGTGCTTCCTCCAGCAAAGCTCCACCCCCTAGCCTTCCCCAAATAGCCACCAACTGTGTACTAAGTATTCAAATTCCTGGTCCTTATTGGGGAGCAGAGCATCCTCAACTATCTATGGAGTTTGAGACCAGCCTTAGGCACACATGAGGCCGGAAGTCAGTCATGTAGCAACGTCTAACTGCAAGTCACTCTGGGAAGCACAGCTGAGTACGCAGGGAGCCAGGGACCAAATGAAATTCTGCGCGGGCTCTAAATGAGCATGGAGATTGAGAGAGACAGCCTGGACCCTTTTCACATGTTTGGTTTTGTTTGTTTTGAGACAAGATTTCTTGGTGTAGCCCTGGCTGTCCTGGAACTTGCTCTGTAGACCAGGCTGGCCTCGAACTCACAGAGATCCACCTGCCTCTGCCTCCTGAGTGCTGGGATTCACGGATTTTTATAAACAAAGTTAACAATGATTTATATCACACACAAGGTTTTTGGGAGGTCGGCAGGGGGAGGCTCCAAGTCCAGAATTAAGTTCTGCCCCTCTGCCTGTGCTGACCCTGTCCCCTGGGCTGCCCCTTCACCGGCTCTTTGGGTCCTTGGGCCTTTTCTTCCATGCTTACCTCTTCCTGTCCACAGTGGAGCTGCAGCAAAAGGACCGAGCGCTGGTGGAGCTGCTCCAGGAGAAGGTCGGACTGTTTGCTGAGATGACCCATTTCCAGGCAGATGAAGATAGTGTCAGTGGGATGCCCCTGCCCGCCCTGCCCAGGGGCCTTTTCCGTTCTGAGTCCCTTGAGTCCCCTCGAGGCGAGCGACTGTTACGAGATGCCATCCGTGAAGGTGAGGGTTCTCCTTCTGAAGTGTCAAGGCTGTCGCTCAGACCAGGGCCATCTCAACCCCACAACCCTTAAAGGCCCCTGAGGGTTTGTCCTGGGTCCGGTTCCTGGGAAGAGGGAGGAAGAGAGCTGACCTTGCTGTTGGATGCTCCTCCCTCTTTCAGGGGACATCTTTGGGGTCCCTTGGGTGCAACATGGCTGACTGAAACCCCACAACCTGATGTTGACTCCCTAAATACTTGAACAGTCACTGTGTGTCGTACGAATCCCACTCAGTATTGTCTCCTGTCTCTGCCTCCTCTTCCCCTTCAGTGGAAGGCCTGAAAGACTTGCTGGTGGGGCCTGGTGCTGATCTGCTTTTGACACCCCGAGAACCAGCTTTACCTTTGGAACCTGATAGTGGCAACACCAGTCCTGGGGTCACTGCTAGTGAGTATGGGGCATGAGAGCGAGGTGGGAGTGGCTGGGAGGCGGGTTACAGGTCCCTAAGGAGGTAAGTGTCCTCTCTTTCTCTTCTGTAACAGATGGAGAGGCCAGGACTTTCAATGGCTCCATTGAGCTCTGTAGAGCAGACTCAGATGCCAGCCAAAAGGTGGGTTCTCAAGAGAGTCAGGGAGTGGCTAGAGGAAGGGCACAGCTGGCGTGTGGCTGTTCAGTAGAAAGCTAGTACTGGGGGCGGCCCCCAGGTGTGTGTGTGCCTGCTGACTCCCCATCCTTGTTCATTTCTGCAGGATCGGAATGGAAATCAGTTGAGGTCACCCCAGGAGGTAAGGTGGGGATTCTGCAGTTGAGGAGATAGAGGGAAAGGGAAACTGTTCTCTATCTAAGAAATCATCCCCTAGTTTGGGTGATTTGGGGGGGGGGGTGTCTGGACTTAAAGTATGTCTCTAGGCACTACTGTTTCCGCAGCTGCTTTACAACTTCTAGTCACTTATCCTAAGCTTGGGCACTGGTGCATCCATCCTTTCTCTCTCCATAGGAGGCGTTACAGCGATTGGTCAATCTCTATGGACTTCTGCATGGCCTTCAGGTTAGTGAGCAAGGGCTGGAATGGGGAAGAAGGGGAGGAGCCAGCCCGAAGTGTCCCTGTAGGTGACAGTCCTTCTAACAGGCCTACATACTCCCCCAAGCCAAGCTCTTTGGGTCCCCGGGATTGAGAGACAGGTAGGTGGCTTCTGAAACACCTTTTGGCCTCATCCCATCCTCAGGCTGCTGTGGCCCAGCAGGACACTTTGATGGAAGCCCGATTCCCCGAGGGTCCTGAACGATGGGAAAAGCTATCCCGAGCCAACTCTCGGGATGGCGAAGCTGGCCGGGCTGTAGTTGCTCCTGCGGCTCCTGAGAAACAGGCAACGGAATTGGCCCTGCTGCAGCGGCAACACACGCTGCTTCAGGAGGAGCTGAGACGCTGCCGGCGACTGGGTGAAGAGCGGGCAACTGAAGCTGGCAGCCTGGAGGCCCGTCTCCGGGAAAGTGAACAAGCCCGGGCCCTGCTGGAGCGGGAGGCTGAAGAGGCCCGCCGACAACTGGCAGCCTTGGGCCAAAATGAGCCACTCCCAGCAGAGGCCCCCTGGGCCCGCAGGCCTCTGGACCCTCGTCGCCGCAGCCTTCCAGCAGGCGACGCTCTCTACTTGAGCTTCAATCCCCCTCAGGTGAGGCTCCTGGAGTGGTGGAGTGAATCTCAGGAACCGGAGAGCCTGCAGAACCCCAAGGACACTTAGTTGTTGGGCATAATCTCCAAGTGACAACACAAGGGACTTGAATGACAATACTAATGGGGCTGCGGGAATGCCTCAGTTGTAAATGTGAGATCTGAGCTCAATCCCTCAGAACCTTCCTTTGTCCTAGGCCTGATGGTGCCTTGCTCACCATCCCAGGGAGGGGAGGCAGAGACAGGCTCACCCTCCCGGCTCTCTGGCTAACTCACCTCGTCTCTTTGATGAGTTCCACGCCAATAGCAGGCCTGTCTCATCAAACAAGATGAATGCCTCTTAAGGAAAGACCCCTGAGGTAGACCTCTGGCGTCTTCCTTATACACAAGTGTACACACGTACAGACAAAATCATACGAGCTAGGGGCTGGAGAGGTGGCTCAGTGGTTAAGAACAGTGACTGCTCTTTTAGAGGACCTGGGTTCAATTCCCAGCACCCACATGGCAGCTCACAACTTTCTGAAGATCCAGTTGCAGGGGATCTGACACCTTCACACCAATGCACATAAAATAAAGTTAAATAAACCATAGAAATATTTTTAAAAATAATCATACGAGTTAAACTGAAAAGAAATTCGAGGCAAGTTCAGTGGTAGAGGCCTGTGCAAATCTCCAGCACCTCAACAAGCAAATCCGCTCTGTTCTCCCCAGATTTCTCCTAGTAGTCTGGTGGGGCACTGCGGGCATTGTTATACCTGGAGTCCTTGTATGTAAGCCTGAGACTGGAGAACCAACTGGGCCCAGCAGATGTAGAGATGAGCCTTGAAGACAACTTGTCTCGCTGGGAGGAGAGCCAGTTGGCGGTCGATCTACTGATGGGGGGGGTCATTGGTGAACCTCAAGAGATGAGGTGTGTTGAGATCCTGGAGGGCTCACTGCCCTCGCCCACCAGTGCCTGCTCTATCTCCTGGTCTTGTCCTTTTGTTTTCCGTAGCCCAGCAGAGGCCATGACCGCCTGGATTTGCCTGTGACTGTCCGTTCCCTCCCCCGACCCTTTGAAGACCGAGAGAGGCAGGAGCTTGGTAGCCCCGAGGAGCGGCTGCAGGACAGCAGTGACCCCGATACAGGCAGTGAGGAGGAAGGCAGTAGCCGCTTATCTCCACCCCACAGTCCTCGAGGTGAGACCCTCTGGGGTCCGGGTCTGGGACTGCGGCTTCTGAAAGTACTGCCAAGTGGCTCCTGAGGTTCAGTTATTCCAAGAGTACAGGGAAGGTTCCTGCTCTGTGTGGTGACAAAAGGGGGGGGGGTTGAAGCTCTTTTTCTGCTGTTTTTCTTGTTTGTTTGTTGAGACTGGGTCTCTCTGTGTAGCCATGGCTGTTCTGGAACTCCCTCTGTAGACCAGACTGGCCTAAATTCAGAGATGCACCTGCCTCTGCCTCCCATGTACTGGGACCGTCAGTGTGCGCCGTCACCGCCCAGGATAGTAGAACTCTTGAGAGGCAGTTTTTCTAATTGGTTGGTGGCTCCCAACCTTTACAAGTAGAAATTCATTTTAAAGTAAAACAGTTTAAAGACTGCCACCTCCTAATGGAGAGAAAACAGTCAAACCCCTCTCGGGGTTTCACGTTGTAACAGTGATTTTGCTACCTGAGGGGTTGTTCATCCCGCCAGGGTGCCCATGTCTGCATAGGGGCCTTTGTGTGAGCCTGTGCTACTCCTCACCACCTCTACCCTGTCTCACTCTCCAGACTTCACCCGAATGCAGGACATCCCGGAGGAGACAGAAAGCCGAGATGGGGAGCCTACAGCTTCAGAGAGCTAAGGGGATCCCCACCTCCTGCCTGGTGCCCCACTGAAGAACATTAATTAGTAAAGGGGTCAAACCTTGGGGACCCCATTCTGCCAATAATGAGGGAATATTTGAAAGAACTGCTGATTGTCCTTGCCAGCTCCTGGGATCCTTGGATGCCTATGGCCATGTGGGACTGGGGATTTAGAGGTCACAGCCCCCAGGTGGCATCCAAGAGCTACACCACAGATGCCAGTTTTTCATGCCTTCTTCCCTCTACTTAGGAAAATTATTTATTTATTGTTTATTGGTTATGTGGGGGAGAGCGAGACTTAAAGGACCAGGGATATGGGAACCAAGCCATAGGGACCAGAGGGCCTTTCCTTTCACACCGCTGGGACACGTGTAGCTTAGCCACAAACTGCTGGCTCCAGGCTAACACCCACTCCAGCTACTCCCATCCATGGCCACAGAACCTACTGCCCCTTTAAGGAGGGCTGTGGGTAGGCCTGTGTCCCTTTCCCCACTCTCCTTAGGCTCCTCCTGCTGGTTTTCCTCTCCTCATCCTCCATGGAAATCCGGCTCCTTGGGGTTGATGGAGTCGAGGCTAGGGTGGCCATGATGTATTAGGGTGGGGGAGGAAAAATCCACAGAGACCAGAATGTTTTGTTTTTGTTTTCTTTTTTTGTACCAAAGCCAACTGCACGTGTTTTATATTTTTAAAAGAAGATTGTAGGTACTTCTAGCCCCATGTCTTTGAACTTGAGGAATTGGGGAGACAGTGGCTTCTTTCACCTACAGTCAGGGCTCTCCTGTTCGGAATTCTTCCTCAGCCATTCGAAAGAAGCTCTAAGGTGGGTTAGGGAACCTCGAACCCTCACCTCATCTCCCACCACGGCAACTGTGGTTGAAACGTAAGCAAGAAAGGGGGGAGGTTCAATGCACCCCTAATAGCCACCAGCAATAGCCATTTGTCGGCCAATTTAATTGTTAAAAACAAAAAGACAGAGACAGTAACAACAAAGAAAGAAAGAAAAACCCAAGCAGGGAAAAAAATTAAAGACCTGAAAGGCACCAGGTGCTGTCTCTATGGCCCATTCAAAGGATTGCGGTGCCTGCAGCCAGGCAGTGACTATGGTTTCTATAAAGGGGCTGCCACTACCTCACTGAAGAGGCCACTAAAAAAAATGAAGCTGTCCAAACCCTCGTTAAAATCTCAAAGTTACAATGATGAAAATGAAGCTGCACCCAGGCTCCAGGGGCTGTCGGTGGCTCCAATATTAGAAAACTGGTTTGCATCTTATTTGTATGCTGTGCTTGGATATCACATCTGGCCCTTGCCACCTCTAGTTCCTTCCCCCACGCTTCATTCCCGCAGAGTCAGACTCAGGGCTGAGTTCTCAGAGGAGCAGCCCTGCTCATGCTGCCCAGTGGAAAGGCAGGAAGTGGTTTCAGTTCTTGGTTTTGGTTTATCCCACTTCCTGTCTCTAGGCCATAGGGCAGGGTCAGTGCATGCACACCCCCACAGCCTGTGATGCAGGGTGAGAAGAAGGGTCTCAGGACCCCAACTAAAAAGGAGGATTGGCATTGCATGGGCAGCAGGTTTGAGACGCTGCCAATACTCCCCTCCATAAGCCTCCGGCCCTTACGAGACACTTTGTAGCCAATCATGGGATTCTTGGGCCGTAGAAGTTGTTTTATATGTTTATTTATTGACTTTATTATTATTTTTGAGACGAGGTCTTGCAGTGAAGCCCAGGCTGGTCTTGGACTCACGTCAATCCTCTTGCCGCAGCCTCCGAGTGTTGGAATTGCAGGCGTGAGCCAGTATGCCCTGCCCCAGCCTCTGCTGTTTTCCTTTGCAGGATGGGTGCAGATCGGTTGCCAGGCCCTCTGCCTTACACACAGCAGCACACAGTTTCGAGCGGTTCCAATGGCTCAGTAGCTGTGCTCCGGGTAGCACTAAGCACGCAGAGGTCAAGTGGAGGAGACAGTGGTCAAGTCAGGAGAGAGGAGTGCAACTCCCCAGCATTCTCCAGAGGGGAGAAAACCTAGGACCTGGAGACTGAGTCCCAGAGTATGAGTTCTAGAAGCTGGGGTGCTTCTGCTGCCTTATTACCATGATTTCACCCCATTATCAGCACAGAGCCAGCCCCATCCTCGCCGTGCTTTCTGAACCTGAAGTCTCCATTGTTCTCCCCACTGCTGCCATTTCAAACCTCGGTGGCAGCGTGCTCTGGGGGCCAGGGTTCAGCTCCTTACCTAAACCATACTGCTCCCTTGGAGGGGGCTCTAAGCCTGGGTGCCCAACTCTCTGTCGCCACCCCCACCCCCTCACCCCTCCCCACCGCACCCCCTCACCCTCCCTGCTCCATCAGAAGTAGGGCCACACGCAGCTACTTGAGTTGGTCTTGTTGATATTTACCCCCGGGGTTCTGTAAAGCAGATGCCCCCAGAGAGGGCAGTATCCGGTCCCAGCCAGGCTTTTAGAGGCGCTGCCGGGGCAGCCGGAAGAAAACTCAGGGGAGGGAAGATTTCTCACCTTCCTGATGGCTAGTAATAGGCCTGGTATTTTGGAGCCAGTTTAAACATTATCAAAAAGAGGAAATTAAACATCAAGAGGCTAATTAAATCTCATTCCCATCCTTTAATATGTTGTGAGTTGGGCGACTCCTCAAACCTTTGGGCAACTGGGTGGAACGGGCAGTGGCACCTGGAAGTATTGTGGCGTCCCCCACAGGGTGCTGCCTTCCCCCTCACAGGGTGCTGCCTTCCCCCCACAGGGTGCTGCCTTCCCCCTCACAGGGTGCTGCCTTCCCCCCACAGGGTGCTGACTCCCCCCACAGGGTGCTGCCTTTCTGGGATTTTGAGTGACTGGTCATCCCAGAGACTGGTCCTGAAGGGAGGGCCTGGAGTAGGGGGCTCTATCCATCTGTACCTCCCCTTCATTCCAGAAGCAGACCCCAGTAAGATCCCTCCTGGTGCACAACTTAGGTCATTATCGTTTAAATTAAGATGGAAACCAAGGGGGCCCTCTGCTCAGAAGACACTCGCAAAGGGGGTTTTTGAAGGACTAACCCTTTAGTTAGCATCTCTCTACGCAGAGTTTGGTGTTGGTTTCATCCTTGGTTGCTCTTCACCTGGGTTTTTGAGACCAAGTGTGTCCCTGAAGCTAGAGCTTGCTGATTTGGCTAGAGTGCCCAGCGAGTCTGGGGATCCCCCTCTCTTCCTCTCCTGCACCATGGTATCCAGTGTCTTTACACAGGGTAAAGGCCAGAGCATGAACTCCAGTCAGGTGCTCCGCACCTTTGCTCCAAGCACCTCACAGCTGCTGCCTGGATTGGTTTTTATTGTTGTTTGTTTTGTTTTTTGTTATTGTTTGTTTTCCAAGACAGAATTTCTCTGTACCTTTTGGAGCCTGTCCTGGGAACTCATCTGTAGACCTGGCCTTGAACTCATAGAGATCCACCCACCTCTGCCTCAAGAGTGGTGGGATTGAAGTCGTGTGCCACCATGCCCAGCTATTTGTTACCGTTTGTAATTTTAGGAAGTGTTAGTGTGTGCGGTGACATACATGTCAGAGCACATGTATGGAGGTTAGAGAACAACTTTGCATACTTAGGTCTCTCAGTTCACCTCTATGTGGATTTGACAGTCCAGCCCAGGTTGCCAGGCTTGTGTGCCAAGTGTTTTCCCTGCTTTGCTTGCTGTCTTGCTGGTCCTTAAAAAACTATTTTATTATGTATGTGTTCTATGGTGTGCATGTATGGGTATGCATGACCATATCTCTTTTATGCGAGACTTTCATTATACTCCATATACCAGGACACAAAATAGACAAGACCTCCATGGCATCCTGTACCTATCTGTCAGCTGCCCTAATTCCTCCTTTCCATTTTCCATGGAAACACTGCGTCCTCCGGCATTGTCGAGTCCTCAACAGCCTTTCATTCCAAGCTGGTTCTGGACTCTATGTAGTTTAGGAATATCTTGAATTCTCCGTCAACTGAGATACAGTCCCAGCCTTTAGAAAACTGATAGAAAGCTGGGCATGGCAGCACCCCAATACTTTGGAGGGAGAACAAGAAAATCAGGAGTTCCAGGCCAGCCTTTATTGAGTTGGAGGCCAATCTGAACACACACAGACACACACACACACACACACACACACGGCTGAGTTACCGTGCTTGTCATTCAGCCGTGAGGCCCTGAGTATGGATGGCCCTTGGCACCTAGAGAAAAGCCAGCTGCAGCACGCCTGATTCTCACTGCTCAGCCAGCTGCAGCAGCACCTGGTTCTCAATGCTCAGCCAGTCAAGCCAATAGGTCAGCTCCGAGGTCAGTGTGAGACGCTTTCTCAAGGGAAGATGGGGCTGGGGAGCTAGTTTGGCAGTCAAGAGTGCTTGCTGATTTAACATAGGACCTGAATCTGGCTCCCAGCACCCTGGGCTGGGTAGTTTACAGCTCCCCGAAATAAGCCCCAGAGGAGCTGCTATCTGGGCACTCACACATTTACATAATTACTTTCAATTAAAAAAATTTGACAGCCAGGTAGAATGACACACGCCTTTAATATCAACACTCAGAAGACAATGGATCTCTGAATTCAAAGTCAGCCTGGTCTACAGAGTGAGTTCCAGGACTGCCATGACCACACAGAAACCTTGTCTCAAAACAAAAGCTTGGTTTTGGGGCAGGTGTTCAACAGGGTCTGGAGAGAGCTTAGTGGTTAAGAGCACTGGCTGCTCTTCCACAGGACCCAGGTTCAATTCCCAGCACCCATATGGCAGCTCATACCTGTCTGTAACTCCAGTTCCAGGATATCTGACACCCTCACATAGACATACATTCAGGCAAAGCACCAAATACACAAATACATATTTAAAAAAGGAAAACAAAACCCAACAAACTAATATTCATGCAGGCAAACACTAATACACATGCAAAAAAATTAAGAAAAATACTTGAGCAGGTAGAGGTCCTTGCTACAAAGCTTGATAGTCTAGATTCAGTCCCTGAATCTCAGATGGCAGAAGGAGAGAATTGACTGTAAGCTGTCCTCTGGTCTCCATGTGGAAGTAGCACGTTTCTTTGCCCAAACAAGCGTAATTTGTAAAAGGAAGAACAAGTGTGGCGACACATGCCTATAACCTGGCACTTGGGAGGCATAGGCAGGTGCATCTATGGACTACATTACGAGTTCCAGGAAAGTCAGGGGGATGTAGTATGACCCTGTCTCTGAGAAAGATAAACTGAAGGAAGAAACCTTACGTCTGCTTCTGGCATTCACATATGCAAGTGTGAGCACACACACAAATGTGCATGCACACAAACGAAGGGAGAAAAAGGAAAGGAAGCTGGGGACTGGAGAGATGGCTCAGTGGTTAAGAGCATTGCCTGCTCTTCCAAAGGTCCTGAGTTCAATTCCTGGCAACCACATGGTGGCTCACAACCATCTGGAATGAGGTCTGGTGCCCTCTTCTGGTCTGCAGACATACACACAGACAGAATATTGTATACATAATAAGTAAATAAACCCCAAAAACTCTACCAAAGAACTCCTACAGCTGATAAACACCTTTAGTAATGTGGCAGGATACAAGATCAACTCCAAAAAATCAGTGGCCTTCCTATACACTAAGGATAAGGAAACAGAGAGGGAAATTAGAGAAGCATTACCTTTCACGATAGCCACAAATAGCATAAAATATCTTGGGGTAATTCTGACCAAGGATGTGAAAGATCTATTTGACAAGAACTTTAAGTCTTTGAAGAAAGAAATTGAAGAGGACACCAGAAAATGGAAAGATCTTCCTTGCTCCTGGATTGGGAGGATCAACATAGTAAAAATGGCAATTCTACCAAAAGCAATCTATAGATTCAATGCAATCCCCATCAAAATCCCATTAAAATTCTTCACAGATCTGGAGAAGACAATAATCAACTTTATATGGAAAAACAAAAAACCCAGGATAGCCAAAACAATCTTATACAACAAAGGAGCGTCTGGAGGCATTACCATCCCTGACTTCAAACTCTACTACAGAGCTACAGTATTGAAAACAGCTTGGTATTGGCATAAAAACAGAGAAGTCGACCAATGGAATCGAATAGAAGACCCTGACATTAACCCACAAACCTATGAACACCTGATTTTCGATAAAGGAGCTAAAAGTATACAATGGAAAAAAGAGAGCATCTTCAACAAATTGTGCTGGCAAAACTGGATGTCAACCTGTAGAAGAATGAAAATAGATCCATATCTATCACCATGCACAAAACTCAAGTCCAAATGGATTAAAGACCTCAATATCAGTCGGAACACACTGAACCTGATAGAAGAGAAAGTGGGAAGTACTCTACAACACATGGGCACAGGAGACCACTTCTTATGTACAACCCCAGCAGCACAGACATTAAGGACCTCATTGAATAAATGGGACTTCCTGAGACTGAGAAGCTTCTGTAAAGCAAAAGACACTGTCGCTAAGACACAAAGGCAACCCACTAACTGGGAGAAGATCTTCACCAACCCCGCAACTGACAAAGGTCTGATCTCCAAAATATATAAAGATCTCAAGAAACTAGACCGTAAAAGGCTAACCAACCCAATTATAAAATGGGGCATTGAGCTGAACAGAGAATTCTCAACAGAAGAACTTCAAATGGCCAAAAGACACTTAAGGTCATGCTCAACTTCCTTAGCGATCAGGGAAATGCAAATCAAGACAACTTTAAGATACCATCTTACACCTGTCAGAATGGCTAAAATAAAAACACCAATGATAGCCTTTGTTGAAGAGGTTGTGAAGAAAGGGGTACACTCATCCATTGCTGGTGGGAATGCAAACTTGTGCAACCACTTTGGAAAGCAGTATGGCGATTTCTCAGGAAATTCGGGATCAACTTACCCCTGGACCCAGCAATACCACTCTTGGGAATATACCCAAGAGAGGCCTTATCATACAACAAAAGTATATGCTCTACGATGTTCATAGCAGCATTGTTTGTGATAGCCAGAACCTGGAAACAACCTAGATGCCCTTCAATGGAAGAATGGATGAAGAAAGTATGGAATATATACATATTAGAGTACTACTCAGCAGTAAGAAACAAGGACTTCTTGAATTTTGCATACAAATGGATGGAAATAGCCGGGCGGTGGTGGCGCACGCCTTTAATCCCAGCACTGGGGAGGCAGAGGCAGGCGGATCTCTGTGAGTTCGAGACCAGCCTGGTCTACAAGAGCTAGTTCCAGGACAGGCTCAAAAACCACAGAGAAACCCTGTCTCAAAAAGCCAAAAAAAAAAAAAAAATGGATGGAAATAGAAAACACTATCCTGAGTGAGGTAAGCCAGACCCAAAAAGAGGAACATGGGATGTACTCACTCATATTTGGTTTCTAGCCATAAACCAAGGACATTGAGCCTATAATTAGTGATCCTAGAGAAGCTAAATAAGGAGAACCCAAAGAAAAACATATAGGCACCCTCCTGAATATTAACCTTCAGCAAGCGATGAAAGGAGACAGAGACAGAGACCCACATTGGAGCACAGGACTGAAATCTGAAGGTCCAAATCAGGAGCAGAAGGAGAGAGAGCACGAGCAAGGAACTCAGGACCGTGAGGGGTGCACCCACACACTGAGACAATGGGGATGTTCTACTGGGAACTCACCAAGACCAGCTGGTCTGGGTCTGGAAAAGCCTGGGATAAAACCGGACTCGCTGAACATAGCGAACAATGAGGACTACTGAGAACTCAAGAACAATGGCAATGGATTTTTGATCCTACTGCACGCACTGGCTTTGTGGGAGCCTAGGCAGTTTGGATGCTCAACTTACTAGACCTGGATGGAGGTGGGGGTTCCTTGGACTTCCCACAGGACAGGGAACCCTGATTGCTTTTCGGTCTGGGGGGGGGGGACATAATTGGGGGAGGAGGAGGGAAATGGGAGGTGGTGGTGGGGAAGAGACAGAAATCTTTAATAATTAAATAAATTAATAAAAAAGGAAAGGAAGCAAAAAGCCGAACTAAGAAAGCTACGTGTGTCAGCACTTGGGATCAAGATTAAAGAGTTCAAGCTACCCTCACCAGCCTGAATCGCATGAGACCCCACTCCAACTTAAAAAGAAACCTGAGGTGGGCGGTGGGCATGCCTTTAATCCCAGCACTTGGGAGGCAGAGGCAGGCAGAACTCCGTGAGTTCGAGGCCAGCCTGGTCTACAATATGAGTTCCAGATCAACCAGGGCTACCCAGAGAAATCCTGTCTTGAAAAAAGCAAACGAGGGCTGGAGAGATGGCTCAGTGGTTAAGAGTACTGACTGCTCTTCCAGAGGTCCTGAGTTCAATTCCCAGCAACCACATGGTGGCTCACAACCATCTGTAATAAAATCTGGTGCCAACTTCTGGTTTGCAGGGACACGTGCAAGCAGAACATTGTATATATAATAAATCTAAAAAAAAAAAAAAGCAAACGAACAAACAAGCTGATGTATAGGGGTAATTTGCCCGAGGGGGACGGGTTAGACCACGGGCTCTGGCATGCTACTGAAACTCAGCCTCTAGTTCCTGATCCTCCAGACCTCTTCTGTACCCCTCCCTTCGCCCCACCCCACCATGTCTTTCCCTTGTAATTGCCTCCCTTCCGTGCTTGACTGAAGGACGCGGATCTATTCACTATTCTCACCAGGCTACACATCCAGGATCTCCTAACTGGAACCACAGGTTCCAGCAAACCCCGCTCTGGCCTCTTCCTGCTGCAAAAGCGGAGGCTTATGTGTCGTTTCTTTGGCTACCCCTGAGATGATAAGAAACTGAGTGGCCAGAGAAGGCATTTTTGGTTTGGGTTTCAGGGATGCCCTGTTTTGAAGAGAGTGAGACAAGGAGAACCCATGTCTGATTTGGTCTAGACCCCATCAGGGAAGGTATCCTGTGCTGTACCGGCACGAAAGGTCAGACAGTCTGGATGGTGCAGAGGTTTAGTCCCGGTTTCTCTTCACCACCTCTAGGGACAAGTATTGCCACACCCACTTTCGGCCTGGGCTCCAGCTTCTAGGTCCTGCCACACCCACAGTTCGGAACAAAGGTCAGACTTTCCCAGGGGACCCTACAGACTGGCAAAGAGCGCAGCTTCTCCCCAGAATCTGTGGGTTCTGCCCCCCGGTAGATCTCAGAAAAGGGAACGGGAATGTCCAGGTGGCATCCAGGTGTCCCTTTGTGTTTGTGCTTGTCGAGAGTCCACTCTCTGGGTGCCAGCTACCCGTCTCCCACTTCCACACAGGCCTTGCTTTGGGGGCCACACTCTTGACCAAGGGTCCCTGAAGGCACTGACCAGAACTTGCTGAGGCTGGCACCAGAGGAGACATAGAGCATAGGGTTGAGGCAGCTGTTGCTGTGTGCCAAGCAGGTGATGACAGGAAAAACGCAAGTATGGATGATGTAGAAAGTGCTGTCCCAGGGCACCAGGTAAAACTCTACCAGAATGCCCCAGAGAGTGACTACATGGTTGGGAAACCAGCAGAGGACGAAGGAAGCCATCAGGACAGGAACAGAGCGGGCTACCACTTGGCTGTCCTGCCACTGCGGAGGCCTGCATCACCGCGGAGGCCTGCACCACTGCGGACTCTGTGGAAAAGCCAGCAACAGCAGGTGGTGATGGTGCCCAAGGACACAATGAAGGCCAGAACCACCCTCTGTAGCTGGTATGCCCCCAACCAGTGTCTGCTGGGGAAATGCAGAAGGCAGAGGCGCACACCTCTCAACCCACCCTCAGCCCCAAAGGTTGCTGTGGGCACAGTCACCAGGGCCACCGCCACCTACACTGCCAGGGTGACCACACATGCCCAGAAGACAAACAGGTGCCTGCCTGGTCTCACAACCATGGCCAGCACCCAGTATCTGGCAACACTCAGCACTGTGATTAGGAAGGTGCTAACGTGGATGCTGAGGCCAGGGGTTGTCAGGATTACCTTGCAGAGGGCACTTTCCGAAAGGCCAGTGTGAGTCCAGTGCTTACTCAGTTGCCCAGAAAGAGAGAGTGAGGGCCAGCCCCAGGTCTGCTAGAACCAGGCTGAAGACAAAGGTATTAGAAGGTGGTCCAGGCGCATGCTGAGCATAGTTACCTGGTACCCACAGTGTAGGGTAACAGGGACAACTGTGCAGGAAACCGACCAATCACTGAGCACCCTGTGTTTGAGACCTGGACCAGGAGAGAAACATCTTCATCCCTGAACCCAGGACTAAAGACATGTTCCCTGGGTCTGAAACTCGTGTCAGAGAAAGACCCTTTGTCACTATAATCAGAGCCAGTAAAAGAAATATGCCCTGGTCCTCAGATTGGAGTCAAAAAGCTAAAAAGAACCAGTGAAAGAAACACAGTTTGGCCATGAAGCCAGAGCCTTCTCTGCCTCTGACCAATCCCTGAGCAGGGAAAAACTAACCAATCCCCATTTTCCCTGGGAAAAGGCCATCCCTAAGAAGTCCTATATAAGCCTCTCCACCGCTTCAGTTAAGAGCTACCATTAAGCCGGGCGGTGGTGGCGCATGCCTTTAATCCCAGCACTCGGGAGGCAGAGGCAGGTGGATCTCTGTGAGTTCGAGGCCAGCCTGGTCTACAAGAGCTAGTTCCAGGACAGGAACCAAAAGCTACGGAGAAACACTGTCTCGAAAAAAAAAAAAAAAAAAAAAGAGCTACCATTAATCTCTCCCTGGCAGAGGCAGCCACCCTCTTGGACTCCCCCTTCCCAAATAAATCTTTCTCAAAATTTTGAGTCTTCAGTGACAACCTTCATTCGCCAGCACTGAGCAGAAGAACCTGGCTGGGATGTCCCTTAGGGAACTGAGCTAAAAAACCTTGCTGAGACGCTCCCTAGGGGGCCTCAGCAAGGCGGAACAGAGCGGAAGAACCTTACTAGGATGCTCCTTAAGGGGGCTGAGCAAAACCAGTGGAAGAAAAGTAAAAACAAGCCAGAGGAGATAGCTACATTTCTGCAGGGGGCTTCCTTTTAGAGAGTGTTAGCAGAAGAAACCTCCTGGACCAGAGAAGCAGATAGGCTAGCTCAGCTAGGACTCTCTCCTAAGGGAACAGAGCAGAACTCGGCTGTAGTGGCCCTAGAGAAGAGCAGGATCCCTATATCTTGCGGGGAGACCATTTCTCACCGCACCCCAGCTTCAGGTAGCCTGGTTTCCCCATAGTCAGGACGCCTTTTCTCCAGGGCTGAGCTGTCACATTGCAGCTCCAGCCTCCAGAGCTGTCCTATTGTGGCTCTACCCCCCAGCCAGAGCTGTCTATTGTGGCTCTACCCCCCAGCCAGAGCTGTCTATTGCGGCTCTACTCACCCCCAGCTGTCCTATCGCAGCTCTAAGTATATCCTGGCTACCTGATAAGTCAGGATATACCAACACTCCTACTGTACCACATTGCCCTACACACACAGCACAGCCAAATTTTCCAGCAAGCCAATGATACCTACAAGTCCATAGGCCAGTGTGACCATGATCCTCTCAGAGCAAGGACCTGAACGGGCACTGCAGCACCTTCAATACTCAGCACACTGTCTCCAGAGCCACTGACCCAGAAGAGGGTGGGCAGAGAGGCAGAAGAATTGATGTGGCCATTGTAAGGCATCAGAGCTTGCTGGAGCTTGTTGGAGCGGAGCAGAGGAGTCAACAAGTACCTGTTTGCTGGACTGGCAGGTGCCAGAGCAGTCAGCAGGAGAGCGGAAGAGACCTGGAATCTGGGTGTTGGTCTGGAGCTTTAAGTTGCAGGAGCCTCTGCCCATGCTCACAACTAAGAGAGAGGGGTGTGGATAGAACAGTCTGCTTCTTCCCTGTTGTACAATTGTCCTTGGTGCAGCAGCACAAGGGAGTGACACATCCACACTGCAAACAGATGCATGACAGCAAGGAAAAGGAGAAACTAGAGACATCTGGAGTGGTGGAACCAAACCAGAAGTCCCTCTAGTCTGGGCAGGGTGTTAAAGAAGTCTTGGAACAGGCTAGGGAAGGAACACAGGGATAGAGGACAAGAATGGAAGTCAGAGACAGAGAAGTAGAAATGTGTCTCGTGTCCTACAGCGGCTGTGCCTTTGCCCTATCCCTTTGAGTGAGTTACACTGACTCCCCTGCATGCGTTTCTGTGCTTCAAGTGTCAGTGTGCAGGCCAGGGAGAGAGCGGCTCTGTGGGTAAAGGGCCTGCTGCTAAGCCTGATGACTTCAATCCCCAGGTTCCTCCACACTCATGCTTGGCCTGTGTGTGTGTGCCCCCCCACTAAATGTTAAAAAGAAAATATAGAAAATAAATTCAGCGGGGTGGCAATTGCCTGTGGTCTCTGCTATCTGTAAGGCAACTGGATCAGTGGAGCCCAACACTTGAAGGCCAACCTTGGCAATATAACAAAACATAATCTCAAAAAACTTAATAATAGGGCCATGGGAATGGTTGCACAAGGCTGCTAGGTTGAGTTCAGTCCCTGGAACCTACATGAAGGTAGAAGGACAGAGCAGGTACTACAGAGTTCTCTCTTGACCTTTATACGTGCACAGCAGCGTGTGTCCCCCAGCACTGCTAAGTTTAAAAACTGAGATGAAGTCATTTAAAGACCAGGGATGACAGTGTGCTGACTCACCTCAACCTGGCCAAGGTTGCATGGTGAGACCCTGTCTCAAAACAACATAAAACCTAAACAGGTTTTGGAGTCGATAAAGGGGCCTGCTTGCCAAGTCCGACAGCTTTACCTGGGTCCCAGGATCCTCAGGCAGAAAGAGATAACAGACTCCTGAAAGTTGTGCTCTGATCCTGAGTGCTCGGTAGCACAGTGCACAATGTGCCCATGGCTGCACAGAAATGCTGTTTAAATCAGCAGCGCACTGCACACCGTGCCCTAGAAATGCTGTTTAAATCAGCCGCACACTGCACATCATGCCCATGGATGCATAGAAATGCTATATTTTTTAGTTGGAGCTAGAGATGCCTCAGTAGTTAAGTATTTGTTGCTCTTGAAGATGACCTGAGTTTGGTCCCCAGCACCTGTACTGTTCACAACCATCTTAACTCCAGTTCCAGAGACTATGACCCTCTTCTGGTCTCCATGCGCCCGAGGCTTGCATGTGGGGCACACATACATGCAGACAAGTACTCCTGCATATAAAATAAAAACAAGTCCTTGAAAAAGTTAAATTAGATGAAAATGTCCCATTGTTCTGGTGTAAGGAGCTAATGTGAGTTGGTGCCTCGTATGCCTTTGCGTGGTGACAATCAAAGGGGCATCTGGAGCGTCTGTAATCAAAGGGGGTAGGACAATGAGCAGCTATTGTCATCATGCCCAGGGAACACTGCCAACTAAAATTCAGAATTCACTGCAGTACCATGTGACTTTTATGCTAAGAAGGGGAGGGAGAGAAAAAGGAGGAAGTCATAGCTTCCGGTGTACCCTTCTGTGCACATTGGAACCGTGAGGCCATAGGTGGATGGCCCGGGCATGCTTTCCTACTCTTTATCAGTAAGCAGTCCTGCCAACCTGTATCACCCCCACTCCACTGCCGCTTCATCTTTCCGGTGGAGTCAGAGCTCAGTTATAACCCCATTCCTCCATGCCGCAAGCCCCCATGGTGGAGTTCTGGACCCCGAGGCAAGCTTTTACTTCACCTCATTCTGTCTCCCCATGAGCTCGGTCCCAAGGAAGTCATCTGCTTTCCCTGCCCACATCTCTGTCCACTGCAGGGGCTGTGATGGAGAGAGAGCACAGAATGGGGAGCTAAGAGTGAGACCGGTTTTCAAAGTTCTGAGAACACCGTGCTCCTTTCCGCCGGCTCAGATAGTAACCGATACTCAGTTCTCTTGGTATTCTAGAGGAGCGGGGTAGGGGTGTTTTCAGTGGGGCTTGAACCCATGTGAGAACCCCAGAGGTGAGAGAGATGCTCTTTGGGAACCGGGATGTTTGAGGTTTTGAGTAAGAGGAAGATGAGACAAGGTTAATAGAAAGGTAGTGTTTAGCCCCAAGCCTGGTGAGATCAGAGCTACCCTGCCGACATCATAGAGTCTTCCTTGGCCTGATTGCTCATTTCTTGAGGCCATGTTTTTTGGTCAGAATGAAATTCCCAGTATAGCAGTTCAGGTAAACTAGTTGCTGGTGTAACAGCTTAACAACAGAGTGCTCCCTTGTTTGCTAGAGTCCTCCAATCCCTTCACTTGCACACAGATGAAAAACCAAAACCACGGAACTTAGATTGGGGAGGGAGTTTACTGAGGAGATATCGTGAAAGCATGAGTATCTCTGTTCAAATTCCTGGATCCTATGCAAAGTCGGGCTCAGGAAGAGCTCCTGTAATCCCAGTGCTTCCCAGGCAAGATGGGAGGCCATATTAGTCACTTTTCTTTGGGTGCAACGAAATGTCATCTTTTTAGGGAAGTGTCTGGTTCCTGAGGGTTAGTGTCCATCACGGTGGGGAAGCTTGGCACAGGCCTGGTGACAGGGGTGTGAGACTGAGAGATCAGGTAGTGGGGCAAGACTCTACACACCTAAGGCTGTCTGTCCCCCATGACATTCTTTTTTTTTTAATATTTATTTATTTATTTATTATGCATACAATATTCTGTCTGTGTGTATGCTTGCTGGCCAGAAGAGGGCACCAGACCCCATTACAGATGGTTGTGAGCCACCATGTGGTTGCCGGGAATTGAACTCAGGACCTCTGGAAGAGCAGGCAATGCTCTTAACCACTGAGCCATCTCTCCAGCCCCCCCCCCATGACATTCTTTTTTTTTTAAATATTTATTTATTATTATGTTTACAATATTCTGTCTGTGTATATGTCTGCAGGCCAGAAGAGGACATCAGACGTCATTACAGATGGTTGTGAGCCACCATGTGGTTGCCGGGAATTGAACTCAGGACTTCTGGAAGAGCAGGCAATGCTCTTAACCACTGAGCCATCTCTCCAGCCCCCCCCATGACATTCTTATAGCAAGACTCTACACACGCTAAGGCTGTCTGTCCCCCATGACATTCTTATAGCAAGACTCTACACACGCTAAGGCTGTCCCCCAGTGGTTTTTTTCTAACATGGCTCAACATCCCGAAGGTTCCACAGCCTTCCCAAACAGTGTCACTAACTGAGGACCCAGTGTTTAAATATCGCCTTCAAATCACTACAGAGGTGGTCCTGGGAAATTCAGGGGTCAGCTGTGGGTGTTGCCAAAAAGACCATCTCAGGGTAGAGAGTGAAGACCAAAAGACGACATTCCCCTCTGAATTCCACATAAGTGCCATGGTAAGTATAAGTGCACACACACACACATACAAAAAAAGATGTAAACATTATTTCAATATATTGAATTTATTTTCTCTTGATTAGAAAGAAGATTAATGGGTGTGGCTGTAGAGATGGCTCAACAAGGGTGCTTGCTGGCCAGATGGTGGTGGTACTCACCTTCAATCATAGCATTCCAGAGGCAGAGGCAGACAGATCTTTGTGAGTTTGAAGCTAGCTTGGTCTACAGAGTGAATTCTAGGACAGTCAGGGCTGTTACACAGAGAAATTGTATCTCAAAAATCAAAAAAGAAAAACAAACAAACCAAGAGTGATGGGAGAACCACCAGGACAGAGAGAGAGAGAGAGAAGGAAGAACCACCAGGATAGAGAGAGTGAAGGAAGAACCACCAGCACAGACAGACACTGATAACTTCTCGTGAAATGGGTTCTTCATTTACACTCGCTGGGGAATGAGAAACCAGGGTCAACAAAAATGCTTTTGTTAGCCCCGTCTTTGTATCGCCTCATGGCACAATAACTTACGGCCTAATTAACTCTCTTGGTTACAGTTGGGGAACTGGTATCAGCAGGTCCCAGCCTCATAGGAAAGGACCCCCACTAGCCCAACTGAATAGCCACCCTCTCCTTTCAATCATGCCTCTCCTGTTGTCCTTCAAAGCAAGAGGAACTGTGGAATTCCTAGAATTCTGCCTAGAACATTGGAAGGACTGAGCTAGCCTCTTCAAAGAACTAGGGGAAGGAAACTATACCTGCATTTGTCATTGAAGGCAGAGACCAGACCCTTGGGGAACAATCAACGGTAGACATAGGAACCCTAGTGAGGTAGTCAGTTCCATAACCTCACACCACCCGCATCTTAGGGTGTCTATTGCTCTGATGTCTATTGCATTACTATGACTATTAGTAATGCGGGAAGGAAAGGGTTTATTTTGCCTACACTTCCACAAACAGTCTGTCACCAAAAGGAATCAGGGCAGGAGTCAGGGCAGGAGTCAGGGCAGGAGTCAGGGCAGGAGTCAGGGAAGGAGTCAGGGCAGACGCAGAAGCTGTAGAGAACACTGCTTGTTGAGGCTCATCATCATCACGTGACTTGCTTGGCCTGCTTTCTGTTTTCTTTTTTCACTTTCCTTCTTCTTCTTCTTCTTCTTCTTCTTCTTCTTCTTCTTCTTCTTCTTCTTCTTCTCCTCCTCCTCCCCCCCCCTCTGGTGTGTGTGTGTGTGTGTGTGTGTTTGAGACATGTTTTTCTGTGTAGCTTTGGTTGTCCTGAAACTTGCTCTGTAGACCAGGCTGGCCAAACTCAGAGATCCTCTTGCCTCTGCCTCCTGAGTGCTGAAATTAAGGTCTGCGCCACTG